CCCCCGCCCCCGCCGTGAGGCAGTGGCTTTGGCAGGAGTGCCAGGCCGGGGGGCAGTCCCCTCCCTCTTGTGCCATCACCCTCGCCTTCCTGTCCTCTCCGTTGCTCTTCCTCCGCCCAGCCCTGGGTATCCAGCAGCCCCTGGGGCTGGCGGGACCTGGAGTGTCATCATGAGCTCTCAAGGCTTGAAGGAGCCAGGGGAGGCTGGGCGCTCCCCCAGCATGAGGGACCCTCACTTTGATGTGTGACCGGGGCAGGCAGGCAGCTTTTCTGAGCCCGCTGGTGGCGCTCTGGGGCTGGCTCTGCAGCTGCGTCTGATGAACAGCATCCTGGGCCCCCAGCCTCTGCCTGCCAAGCAGACTGCGGCCCCAGATGCCAGAAAGGCTGCTCCGGCCCCTCACGCTGGCAGCTGCAGCTCCGTCCTCAGGATGGTGGGAGCCAGGACAAGCCACGTGACCAGCTCAGCGGGGAGCCTGAGGAGTGCGAGAGGGGCGGCAAGATGGGGTTCAATGGGAACCCGAGGTGCAGAGCTGCTGCGCCCACACCTGGAGGTGGCCGCAGCTCCCAACCCCCGCCTGCTGGTGGGAGGACTCCGGGGCAGCAGTGCCCCACGCCAGGCAGCCAGTCCAGCCCCAGGTCAACCGGGCCTGCCGGGGGCCTCCTTCCCCCTTTGCAGCCGGCCATCAGGCTCGGGGGGCTCACCCAGCCCCACTGAAGCCCCAAACAGCCCTTCCCCTGGCCAAGATGGGCCCCAAGTGGGGGCCTCCCTGGGGTGGGGGTGCTTCACATCTGCACCGGGGCAACGCCACACAGCCCGCGCCTGGGAGGCAAGCAGGGCAGGCGCACTTCGCCCTCTTCTTTATTTTTTCTTGACTTGTTCCTCTTTAACATGGGCAGACGAGGCTGGGGCTTTCCCAGGAAAGCGGGTAGTTGGGGGTGGTAGGAGAGGCAGGGGCTCCAGCCTCCTCCTGGGCACTGTCTTTCAGCAGAGGAGCCTCTGGACAAGCCTGAACCTGCCCGCCACCCTGGCAGCGCCTGCTCCCCTCTGGTGGCCTCTCCAGGGGCCTGGGCCATGGGCAGAAGGAAGGGTGGGAGCAGAGGCGGGAGCCCTGGGGCTCTGCGGGCTGAGCCAGGGGACGGCTCACGAGCCAGGGGACGGCTCACGGGCCAGGGGAGGAAGCCACAGCCCAGGGGAGCAGAGGCGGGGGGGCAAGGGACACCCCTTCCGTCTCCAGGACCCCACGCATGGCCTGGGAGAATGCCTCTCTCCTCCACCTTCCCTCCAGGGCTGGCCCAGCTTTCTACCCAACGTGCCCGGCCTGGTGCCTTGGCCTCTTGACTCTCTTAGAAAATGTGGGTGTGCTGCAAGGGGGGGCTCAGGCAGGAAAGGAAGCGACTTGTGGTCACCTAAGTCAGCCCTGAGCACGCTCACACTGCCCTGAGCATGTGGGAGTGGCCCGGACCACAGTGGTTTCTTTAAATCTGAATTCCTCAAAGCCTGTGGGCAGCAAATGGCTGGGTTTCCCTCTCCGCCTCCTCCACTAGCCTCACTGACCCCCCAGGCAGGCTGCAGCTGACTCAGTGGCTGGTGCATGTGTGTGTGCGCTTGCGTGAGTGTGAGTGCTTGAGTGAGTGTGTGTGCGCTTGCGTGTGTGTGTGTGTGTGTGTGTTTGCGTGAGTGTGTGTTTGCGTGAGTGTGTGTGTGCACTTGCGTGAGCGTGTTGGAGGGGTACAGACTCACCAACTGGGAAGACACAGTGCTGCCCACTGAGGCCAAGTCCTGCCCGGAGTCTCCTGCCCACCCACACCTCCCTCCGGCCCCTACAGCCCAGGACCTGGCTGCACCCGTGAGGGGTGAGGGGTGAGGGACACGAGGCCCACACGTGCAGAGCCCCAGCCCCCCGGGCTCGGGACGGTAGCCAGGCAAGGGCCCAGAGGATGGGCGTGGGCGCCAGCTGGGCACTCCTGATGGCCCCTCCTCACCCCAGTCTCGCAGGCACACCCACCATGTGGCCCCTGTGGCCTCTTGCGGCCCTGCTGGCCCTGAGCCAGGCTCTGCCCTTTGAGCAAAAAGGCTTCTGGGACTTCACCCTGGACGACGGGCTGCCCATGTTGAATGACGAGGAGGCTTCAGGCGCCGACACGACCTCGGGCATCCCAGACCTGGACTCCCTCCCTCCCACCTACAGCGCCATGTGCCCTTTCGGCTGCCACTGCCACCTGCGGGTCGTTCAGTGCTCCGACCTGGGTCAGTCCAGTGGGATGGACGTGGAAGCATGAGGGTGGGTAGGGGGTGACCCCAAGCCAGCTCTGGAATCCTGGTTTCAGTGTGGGAGGGTGTCCATTGGTCTGCTTGCAAGCAAGCGGGGAGCGAGAAGCCCCTCCATCTGCCAACTCTGGCGCTGGCCCACTTGCGGCGGAGTCCCTGCGTGCGGGTCTGCGTGCACGCGAGTCCCTGAGCTCGGCGCCACTCTGGGGTCATGACCATGGCTCACACTGGTGACAGTGGTGCCGGCCCCCAGGTCTGAAGGCTGTGCCCAAAGAGATCTCGCCCGACACCACTCTGCTGGACCTGCAGAACAACGACATCTCCGAGATCCGAAAGGATGACTTCAAAGGTCTCCAGCATCTCTATGTAAGCCCACCCTGGCCCTTCCGAGGGGCTGCAAGGAGGTGGCAGGCCCACAGCACGGGGGGTTGGGTCCAGATGGGTCTGGGCACATACTTGTGGAGTGCGAGAGGGGACCGGGGACCTGGGGAGTCCTGAGAGAGGTCTGGAGGCGGCTGTGGTGGGAGTGCCCAGGGTCACAGGGCACATGTGCAGATGTCAGCAGCCATAAGTGCAGGGCAGGATCACTCAGCCCAATTCCCTTCTTGACTGAAAACTTTTCATCTTATTGACTCCTCCCAGCAACACAGTGAGAAAAGATTTCATTGTAGCCAGGGTGCAAGTGGGGAAACCGGGACACAGAGAAGCGGCAGGCTGCGCTAAGCAGCAGTGGTATTGCTGGGCCTGAGCGCCAACTCCCCGATCTGCACTCTGCCCAGGAGCACAGATGAATCTCCTGGAGGCTGAGCTGGGGCTCAAACATCTGTAAAGTCCTGATAACTGCTAACCGCGAATCGCTAGCTCAGGTGGCAGGTGACGGGGGAGAGGGGAAGGTGGGCAGGTGGGGGGCTGGGCCCCTCACTTCAGCACGCGTGCTGCCTCAGGCCCTGGTCCTGGTGAACAACAAGATCTCCAAGATCCACAAGAAGGCCTTCAGCCCCCTGCGGAAACTGCAGAAACTCTACATCTCCAAGAACCACCTGGTGGAGATCCCTCCCAACCTGCCCAGCTCCCTGGTGGAGCTCCGCATCCATGACAACCGCATCCGCAAGGTGCCCAAGGGCGTGTTCAGTGGGCTGCGCAACATGAACTGCATCGGTGAGCGAGGTCCCGCCAGCGGCGTCATCACCCCTCCCTGGCAGTGGCAGTGGATGGGGGAGGAGGGTCAACGAGGGGGGCTCTGCCGGCCAGGGCAGCTGGGTGCTGGGCTGTCCGGGACAGCCATGGACCAGCCAGCTGGGCCTCACAGAACTTCCTGGAAGCTTGTCTAGGAGCACGCCCCAGAGCTGCCAAGGGAAGGTGAGGGGCCCGTAAGGAAAGGGAAGGGAAAGGGCCGGTGCAGCCAGCCAGCCAGCCAGGGACTGGGGAGGCGGGGGAGCTCGGCCTTGATTTCTGTCTCCCCTCCCTTTCTCCCTGCTCCCTCTGCCCCCTAAGGCCGATGCCAGGCCCAGTGCCCTTGGGAGTTAGTGGCCTTGAACAGCGAGAAGTTTGCATTTAGTCCATTTGCGTTAGTAAATTAGTGGCACCGCTTTCAGGGAGAGATGGGGGAGCGGGTAATTAGCAGGGCCCACTAGGCCAGCCCAAGCCAGGCAGCTGACAGGCTCTGGGGGGGTGTGGGCAGATGCCCAGCCGTGGCTCCAGGGCTGAGGGGGCCTCTCTCCTAGAGATGGGTGGGAACCCCCTGGAGAACAGTGGCTTTGAACCTGGAGCTTTCGATGGCCTGAAGCTCAACTACCTGCGCATCTCTGAGGCTAAGCTCACCGGCATCCCCAAAGGTAGGAAGGCAGCCCTTGCTTCCCACACTACCTGGCCTTCGGAGCACACATGGACACAGGTGGGGGGCCTGGAGCCATCTGGAGGCACCCAGTCTACTCAGGGAGGGCTTTGGCTGCCCCTCTCCCCACCTGGGGCAGAGCTAAGGTCTCTGCTCCACCAAGTGTGGGAGCACACACACACACACACACACACACACACACACACACACACACACACACACAACCACAGCCCACACATGTGGCCTCCCCTCCTGCATTCAGCCCAGAGCATCCTCTTTTCCTGGCAGACCTCCCCGAGACCCTGAATGAACTCCATCTGGACCACAACAAAATCCAGGCAATCGAGCTAGAGGATCTGCTCCGCTACTCAAAGTTGTACAGGTGGGCTGTGGGGCTGGGGGGCTGGGG